ATATGGGCATTTTCATAAGATAAATTAATTATTTAGTCTAAAATATGACATATTTCGATTCAAAATGGGCATTTCCATAAGACATGTTTCGATTGAAGGTGGGTTCAAATTTCAAACATCAAATTTCATTTTTTTGAAACAAACTTTTACAAATATTCAAATTTCACAATTATCTGTAAGTTGTGGAATTCCTCATTCTTGTCTCTAAGGAAATTCAATGAAATTTCCAATAATTTTCAGATTATTCACGAGTGAGTATCACCTCGTGTTTATTAAGAAGAGTTTCTTGGCTGCTTGCGGATAAAAAAGCAAAAAGCTTTTCGAAAGTTTCGGACGTCTCACCAATCGAAATATGTCTCACCAATCGGATTTTCCAGTCAACTCAAAATGCGATCCTGTAAGCCGCACAAGTTCTCAGTAAATTGAAACAACATTANAAATTTCAAGCAGAATATTTATTGCTCAATAAAGCCACGATACATTTCAGCAATACCTCAAATTCACTCACTTTACGTTGAATTCTCATGTGCAATTTGCTTCGGAAGTTGACAAACATTTCGAAACGATACACTGAGTTAACAAAGTCAATAATAGAATCACGAAACGCAATTGGTGTTATCGTAAGCCAGTTGTTCCTATTTGCCTTGTATGATAGATCACCTAAACTTAAATAGAATCAAAAAGCCGTCATAGACGATATTTTCATTACTATTATTATTATTGTTATTATTATTATTATTACGAATCATTCGATACAATTCTCCGAAAAAAATGTCAAAAAAAGGAATTTTAAATCGGTGATATAACGAATGTATTGATCAATTTGGCTTTAAGTGCATCAAATAATAGTGATTTGAAGCGGCGTTCATAATCTGAACATAAACTGAACAAATGAACTCAAAGTCTCGATGATTTATAGTTGTAATCGTATTCATCGAAACTTCTTGGTGGTGATGGGGATCGTCTGAAATATCGATCTCTTGACTGCTTCTCATAGATGATCGCTTCGGTTGTCTGTTCCTGTGGTGATCGCAACGTATAGTTCCTTCGAATCGGCTCTTGAAAGATCAACTTTTTGGTATTTGACCGAGGATTCCTTCATGAAAGTGATGCTGTTTGGTGTTTGATCGAAAACTTGCCGAAAACAATGCAGGAAAAGTGGAATTTAATTATGAAACGTTTGAAAATGATTTATTTCCGATCCTCGATGAAGAATTTCTCAGTGAAGTTGTAGCGAAAACACACAAAGAAGTGAACAACTGAACAAATGATCTGACCATGCACAATCACATTCTCAGGTGATGCCATCCTATTAGCACTCACGCCACGTCTCTTTCTTGCTTCCCTAATCCCGAACCACCCAGCAAACCAAATTCCCATCAAGCAAATACACGGTATCAAACAACACATCATCAGTGCTATTATTGCCATTACCATAAATATCAAACGGCCTGAATTACTGCAACAACTGTGATTCACATTTATTCTGTTCATACCATTCTCATCTTTTTTATTTCAAAAAAAGGAATTGAATACAAAAACATTAAATTTTTGTGGCATTTTTATGGTTTCCATGCGATTTTATATCGCATTTTAAAATAGAGATGGTTTTTGTTCCAAAAACTACTCGATTATAGTGCATTAGCCGGAAATCCAAATGTCAGCTGTGATAATTTTTGGCTTTGAGTGTTTCAAGTTTTCATTTTTTTCTGTTGAAATTCCTAGCAGAATTTTATCATTGAACAACAAAAACCAAAGAATTGTGTTCAACAATAGTGATGATCAAGCTCCGGAGCCAGAAATTTTTTTCGGCTCCCCCAAAAACTACCACAACAATATTCAGTAGTCGAAGGTGAAATCAGCAGTCAGCACAATAGTTTTCTCCGAATGGGAGTCGGAGATGGAGTGGAACAAAGGAAATTTCGGAGCTGGAACCAGATTTAAAATTTCAAAAATGCGAAGCCGGAATGAGGTTGGAGCAGAAATTTTGAAAACGCTGGCTGAAATTTGAAAAGTGCAGAGCTGGAATTTCAAGAGACAGAGCCTAAATTTAGAAAACACGAAATTGGGGCAGAGTTTAAAAAAAAACATGGAGCTGGAGTTGAAGCCGGAGTTGATAGTTTTGGAACCGCGGAGCCAGGGCCTCAGCTGAGTCACTTTTTTCATACTAAGCGGCATCACTGTCCATCAGTGAAAAAATTCATTAACAACTTACTAAGTATAAAAGCCGCCATAATCACTCGCATACCAATACTGTCGTTTCATTCGACGCGATTCTCCACTTATTGAAGCAGTCGATTCCGAGCTAATTGTCTTGTTATTGTCAGCGTACAATAAAACAAATTCAACGCAAAACAACCATAATAATATCCGTTGTCGGTGTGCCATCTTAACAAATGCTTGCAAATACTGTATTCATATAGACAAGTGCTTCTAACAGGGTGGAATTTCATTCTGGTAGGAGGGGGAGGGGAAGGGGAGAGAGAATATAAGGTGTTGACAAATAAATGTCGACTGATTTTTTTAACAGTTTAACCAGAATTGTTCAGCAATAATTTCAAAACGCTTGTCTTATCGCAACGAACTGATTCGTTTGATAAAACGACAAATTCTGTATCAGATTCATGAACTGTAATGGACTGATGTAAATAAATTGTTGGATGGGTGAATGACGATCTGCTAAACGGTCAAATGCACGCAACAGCTATTGACAAACAACGAAAACTAATTCAAATACCTAATAAATCGCCTCGTAATATCAATATTCTTACACTATGAGTTGTCCGTCAGCCACTTCTAACGACAATATTTGAATCGCCAATGAAAAGAATTATTATTTGTTATTTATTATTGTTGATACACATTATTTATTATCATTAAAATGATCGTAGTCACATAAAAGCAACTGAATAACCGAATGAGTGAGTGAATGATCGAAATTGACGCAGTATAAAACCAGTTATATGAAATTAGTACCATATTGAATATCAAGCAGCAATATACTGCACTGTTCTTTTTGTTGAATGACA